CGTACTGTATTATGTGTAGAGCTTGGTTATGTACAAGAAAAGAATGCTTTTTTCCGGTATTTTACGTAATAACAAAAACAAACAAAAAATGATTTGCGACACGGGCAACAGTAGCTTATGTAGCCCCACTCATTCATCCCTACAACCTGTATGTTTTCCTACGAAAACGGTGTTTATCGGGTTTTATGGACGGGAAATTAGGATACGCAGTGGAATATACTTTAATAAATACTAAATGCATTTTTTATTTTACTGTATTTGGAAGTGTTCTTGATTTATATCTGTAGATTTTCCTAATCTGTATTAGCATTTAACTTATTGCAGAAAAATCCGATTATCGAACTGCAGGTTTCTTGAATTTCCCGAAAAATTGAAATGTTGGTACGTCTACTTCAACTTACCTGTGGTCAAACTTACCGTTCTGGAGTTAGATTAGCTCTACTTCAACTCTTACCTGTGGTCCAACTTACCGTTCTGGAGTTAGATTAGTATAGTCCGCGGAGCGAAGCACCTGTGGTCCAACTTACCGTTCTGGAGTTAGATTAGTAAAGTCCGCGGCGCGAAGTGCCGCGCACGTTGAAATTCCCGAAAAATAGAAATGATGGTTAGGAGGTCGTCTACTTCAACTCACCTGACAACTTACCGTTCTTGAGTTAGATTTGGTATAGTCCGCGCGGGAAGCGCCGCGCACACCTTCAATTTACATGCGGAACAACCTGCTCCCAGTGGTCGCGGGAAGCAACTTCGACTACATTTTTTTCATTTCACACTTGCTTCTAAACATTTCCTTCTCCGCCTATCCTATTTCCCCACCCCACAAAACTCTACAACCACCGTTATTGCAGGACAAGATGCTGGGACTAGGGGTATATGAGTGGGGCTACATAAGCTACTTTTGCCGCGACACGTTTTAAAAAAACGGTCTAGTGTCAGTTGTTTTCAAACTTCACTCGCAAGTGCTCTTTGATGTCCTTCTCCAGGCACCAGAAATCGTTGCGCATGCGGAGAGATGAGAATCTCACTCTATACTGTTAGCAAACTGGGCTTTG